AGCCTTAATAGGAGCACTGAAAGACGATAAATATACTAAAACGGCCCAATCACGCCTCACCCGTTGGGCGGATAAACTATTACCGTTCGACTTTACCGTAGAACATTTACCCGGTAAAGATATGGGATTTGTCGATTATATATCCCGACACCCATCGGGTGAACCCGTACCAGTTTCTCTGGATGACGAGAAGTTTGTTATCGCTTCAGTAAACCAGATTAGTACACTCCTAGGCTTTGATCACCTTATGCCAAAAAATTCGTGGGCGCAAATAAGAAATAAATTTTCTCAACATTTCTTAGCACATGACGTCACTTCTTGCAATGCTATTAGCCAGTCAACAGATCATATGACCAGTCAAGAAATAGAACGTGAGAAACGAATTGCTAATGCCGCTGAAACTTTCCAAGCGATATCTAACCATTCCAACATTTCAGTGTGTCAAAATTCTCACTCGCGTACAGAACTGTGTGACTCATCTTGCAAAACTAACGACTTTTTTACGAATTTTAAAATCCTGAAAGAAATGGCAGAACAAATTGAATTTAACCAACAAAAAGAACTTACTACTAAAGAAAACACGGACGTTTTAACACCAAATACTAGTAACCCGTCGGACAAACCCGAGAATAGATCACCTAGCAAAAAGAAAACAGTTAACTTATTCCCTTTCTCTTGGCCGGAAATATTTGACTCTAAATTTATGTCCCTCTTATCGAAACAAGATCTAATTCTAAAAAAGATAATCAAGGCAATCGAGGAAGACCGAAAACAGGATATCCTACAACTGGGAAACTATTATAAGTCATATTTGAATAACTTACATGTCAGTGGAGGATGCCTCTATTTGGACAACCGTTTAGTAATCCCAGCATGCCTAAGATCGACTATGCTGAACAGACTACACGAAGCCCACCCCGGCCAGTTCGCAATGAAAAGCCTGGCAACGCAATACATCTGGTGGCCGAAAATTTACCGTGAAATCCAAGTCCACGGCGAAAATTGTATAGAGTGCGTGAAAGCAGGTAAAAATTTGAAACCTCTTATAAAACACAATACCCTAGGGGAACTCCCAATGGTCGAAGAACCAAACCAAGAAATGGAATTAGATTTCGCTGGTCCGTTACCTTTAGTATGGGGAACAAAAAAATACATATTGGTGTGTGTAGACAGATTTTCAAAATTCCCATCAGCTCAAATAACATCCAGTACATCGGCAAAATCTATTATAAACTTCCTTAGTAAATACATTGCTTTACACGGGATACCTAGAACAATTAGAACAGATCAAGGATCTGGTTTCATCTCCAAGGAAGTTAGAGAATTCTGCCACGATCACAACATAAAGGTGATATTTAGCCCAGTGGGTGATCATAGAGCTACGGGATTAGTGGAACGCCTAATCAGGACCATTAAGGAACGACTCCTGGTTATGGCACAAGAACGTCCAAAACCTTCACTAGAATCTGCACTCCTGAAAATAATAAAATGCTTAAGAACAGTAACTCAACAGTCGCTTAACTGCTCTCCTTTCGAAGCACATTTCGGTAGATCCCCAAACACTATCTGGCATAATTTGGTCAAATCACCCTCTTCGAATAACCTTGATTGGAACAAAACTTTGTTATGTATAGATAAAGGCAAAAAACTAATGAGCCGAGAGCGAAGACATGACTGGGATGCCCCTGACGACATAGAAGATGGAGATGTCGATGAAAATTCATCATCCTCGGAGGATATCTCAAATGCCGTGAGATATGTACCAACAAGTGCTGGATCCCCAGTAAAAGTCCTCTCCCGGTCAGAAAAAAGAGATGCCTTGGGCATAAAGGACTCAATTCTGAACAACCCGTCGGGTAAGACCATTGTTTATCGAAAAATCCAAGATAGAATGAAAAATGAACCATACTATAGAGTACTTAAGGACGAAATCGTAAGGGAATCAGATCACACTGTGACTCTAAAAAATGGTAAAATAATACGTAAATCTGATTTAGCCATTAAAAGACAGTGCACCCAGAAGAAACCAAGTCCGAGAAAACGAGACCAATTAGTTAGATTTTATGCGACTAAAGGATTGAGGAAAACTGCAAAACCTCCAAGAAATATCGGATTTAAAAGCTCAAAAACTACCCAAAAGAAACGAAATCTTCAGTGGAAATTTGAAGAGCTTGACATTGCGAGGCGAAACGCGGCCATGAACAGTTCTAGGGAAACTCTTCTTAGAGAAGAAGAAGAACAGAGAAAGAGACTGAGAACACCGATTGGCCTCGAGAGCGACCAAGAACCAAGCCCGTCGGGCAAACCCGAACTTCTTAAAAGTTACCTAAATGAACCCGGAGTGACGATCGAACCACATGAAGAGATGTCAGACGATAATGCTAGTGACTTAATGACACTAAGAGACCTCAAGGAGAAAACACTACTCGAAACTACGAAACGAGACGAACACCTAATGTCCGACCGAACAGATCCTAAGCTAGAATCATCAGACCACGCCGACCAGAAGGTCGAGTTAGATGAGATTCCTTTGATCGACTTGGATTCCGGTGACAATGAAAGAGACTTTCAAGCGACCCCACAGTTGATTCTCTTGGACACTAGGGAGGAGGGCGATGAAGCGATCCAAGAAATGCCGGTACTTCCAGAGAATACCGGAGGAGAGTTCCCTAAACCTACTGGAGAACAAACCACCATGGCGGAGACGGGACCCAAACAAACACATTCTGACCGTTCTACGAAGACACAGAAATTGTCCGGTACTGCTAAAAGGAAAGCGTCATCTCCAATGAAATCACCACCCTCGAAAAAACTGTCAGAAATTTTTACACGTCAGAACACCAGACCTATGCGAACTAGGCAGCCTCCCAAGATGCTAGGCGAGAGAGTATTTACCAGTATAGTCGATCTAACTGAGGAAGATCGTGATGCCCTAGAATTCGGTTCACCTAGTTTAGTCTCAGTATGTTCAACGTTGGAAGCAACTACGGTAGAAATGGAAAGCCACCATGTCGACCTAGTAGACCTGACAACATTAACACCACCTTCATCTTCACGGCCTACTATAGTTCACTTGCGAGAAGAAAACGATGCGTACCCAAGTGACCCAAAGCCCTTAAAAACAGACGATCAAAAGAGTCCTGACAAGAAGGTCAAATTTAGCCCTGATGTCTGCTCCACGCGATTTAACCCATCGGGCCTATCTTACGAAATTTCAACTTCCACATTTGTCCCCATCGTACCTGACCCAGACTGGCTGAACACCTCTTCTATCATTTCGGCGATAGAACTCCTTGGACGGCCAATGACACTGGAGGAGTTAAGGAGATGGACAATAAATAAAGCAGCAAATCGGGAATCTAATTAGATGTAGAAACTCCAAAACAGATGTTATCAAAAACATTCTTGATCTACCAAAACTCCATTGTAAAACTTTTAGTACCTGTACGTCCTGTTTATTGTTGAATGCCACTAACATTCCATGACCCTAGAGTCATACAAACCTCTAGTGCTGTTATTTTAAGCCATAGTTATGATTGGTAACACTTATACGATACCCTTGCTTTTGCCATAGAATTCAGCCCGAATCTCGTTATAGTTCTGTTAACCCATGGGGCGCTACCACCGGATAACCATTAGATTTATCCATTCTGGTTCTACCCAGTTATTTCGCTTATTCTAAGGATAACTCCCTGCATACCTTATGACTCTATTCACCCTGGTGCTATTTCAGTTTCTTGCTTGCCTATAGTCACCAGTCTACAGTTATTTCTTCCGACGAATACATATTATTCGATCTAAGGTGCTTTGTTTTGGAATTTTGTTTTTGTTTGTTGAACTTGCCGTCCGGCCCGTCGGGTCCGATCACCGGTCTTCTCCGTACTGTACACCCACCCTTTCTACCTGATAACCGTGTAATTGTACTTAGTTTATGATACGCCTCTTGGGCCCTTTATCAAATCTGTGTTCTTACGAATCTAGATCCACTCTCGGGGGTCCTAGACAATGCGCCTACTGATTCATTCATCTTAGTGCTTAATCATTTTTGTTTTGTTCCCTTCTGGTGAGGCGAAAGGGATAAATTATAGATAAAATTTCGCGGGGAATGTAAAAGTATTATGGTTTGTTTATTTAACCTCTGATCTTAACTTACCATCGACCTTTAAGTTGTTAATTTATATACCTGCCAAAAGCGCAACGGCTTTTGGTAGACTCTGAATTGGACACTATCTTTTATGATACGTAACAAATCAATCGCAACCAATTCAATCTTTTAAACCTCTCTTAACTTAGATAGAATCCCCGTCTTTTATTTAGTCTTAAATAAAAGCCTACAATTTTAGTAGGAATCTTAATCATCCACAGTCTTAATCTATTCTTAGTTTAAGTCACTCTTTTACAACACGAGTGGTATCCTAATTTTTTAACAAGTATCTTACTTCCTGGACTTTTTGGGAGGAAGTCGTTCGAAGCGACACCGTCGTAGACACCAAGGAGCCCTCTGGTATGTCCAATGAAACTATCCGGCAAAGTAACGTAGACGTTGAGATAGTTGCGCACCACAAACAAATTCATGAGAAGGTTTATACCTGGCATCTGGATCCGGATATGACACATGTCATCGTTTTGTTTTATATTGACTCCACTGAAGTAAAAGTCAAATGGGTCATCGGGGCCAATCATGAACAGATCTGTGAGCACCATGTGATCTCTATTGATAAAGATGAAGTTTCGGACTCTGTCGCTTTTCCCTTCAGGTATCAAAGGCGGACGCATGAACTCAACTTTGTGGCCACCCGATGAAATTGCTATTCCCGCTACTACAGTCATAGATCCCATCATTCTGGTGCTGATTTGAATCTTGGTCGGCTGATCTAGATCAGTTTCCAGAAGTGTGAAGACACCCAGTCCCAGGAAAGTGTAATCGAGTCCGTCTACTGTGATGAAATGTCCGCCAAATTCTACAGGAGCGGTTAGACTTCCGTGGAACTCTCCGGTTACGGTGGGTCTGTTGAGATGGAACAAATCGCAACGATTGCTATTCTCACAGCACGCGTCGAAGGGTTCCAGCTCATTTTTGAAAAAGTGGTGCAAATTAAAAGAAGTAGCTTTGGTCAAACTCATTCTTCCCGCTCCCCGAAAGGGTCACTCATCAATTGACCTTCCTCGTCGTAACAGCATTGGTTCGAAACGTACAGAGTTTGTCCGGTTTTCTCATCCCAACAAGTAGTTGAAGGGGAACGAATGCAGAAGTGGGCGCCTGGGTTATAATCACAGTTGGAGCTGTTGCAGATTGCGCCAGTAGCGGTGTTTGAAGGGAGAGTTGAATAGTTTTGGTTACAACATGGGTCATAGATCCAACCACTCGGACCATGGTTGACCTCCTCGTGAGCCCAAAAGGAGTCCAATTCCTGGCCTGAGTTTTTTCTGTAATTTGCAGGACATGCAAACGCCTCCTCCAGCGCCAGAGAACACTGAGTAAGATCCCAGTCCAGTTGATCATGAATCCAGTCTACACAATTTGTCTCGCCTTTCTTCGGAATCACACTGACAAATGTTCCTAAAACAGAGTAATCCAAAATGCAGAAAAGGTTTTGACGGATAGAAGAGTAGAATTAGGGCGAAAGCATTAATGAGCTTATGTAAATTTCTTATAGATTAGTGCTTTTAGATAACTACCAAGATAATAAAATAGATCCAAATAGTATCCTGATAGCATTAGTCCTGCAAGCAATTGATATCATGGTTTGAGAAAATGAGAGGTGTGGGAATGGGACCTTCTATAAAAAATGTTTTCCTAATTGATCCCCAGTCCCGATTCAACGACCTGAAGTTATCATCTTGTCAAACATTTTAAAATTTTTGCTACTGCTCTTTTCACCTTTGGTTCAATCACAAAAGTTCATCAATTTGAAAGTAATTGAGAAAACTTCGAAAGTAATTGACGAGGAGAAAATTGCACCAACTGTTACGTTAAGATTGAAAATATTCAATTGAAATTTTAATGTAACATTTCAAGTCAATTAACAGGTCAAATTTTGTACTTCTCTGACAGAATAACTCGTTTTTTAATTAATGGTAAATGACTGAATCATAATGAAAAAGATAAGAACGCAAGCAAACCATTTTTTGGCTCCGAAATCAAAGTAATTGAATGCAATTTATGGCCTCTTGAAATTTTTAGTTATTTACTCAAGAGAACGAGCTCTAATTATCAAACCAGAATACCTGTCACTTAAATCAGAATGATCAGAATAATTAGTTGGGTTGTACACAATATTTCTCTCATGGTGACCAAAGGTTTTTGCGACTTAAAGCTATGATTGCTTACATTTACAGTTTTAAATAGTAAAAAACAAAAATTAAAAACAATATGAGTCAGAATTTCATAGTAACTTGGCTAAGTTACATAGCGTCTTTTTAACTTCGTTTTTCAGTTAAGCAAGGAAAGCTTGTTACTCTACAATACAAATACAACAGAATTCTCCTATTTCTGATCAGAGTCAACATAGAAAGTCCCCCCCCCCCCCCCAAAGTCAACTTTAAGAGAAAAAAAATAAAAAATGATATTTTAGGACTAGAGAAGGAGGGGCAGGGGCGCGTACGCCCCTTCACCAGGGGCCGATCTAAAATTTTCTCGAGGTAGGGCTGATTTTCAAAAAAGTTTCGAAAATTTTGTTGACCTTTTTAGGTTGACCAAATTGATTTTCCGAGTTTTCCGAAAGCACTAAAAAAACCGTGTCCTGGCCGCTATTTCTGCGCAGCAGGCAAAGTTTAAGAAAAGGCGTTTTTAAGCATTTTTTGAAAAATTTTGACCAAAAAATTGCGTTTTTTGGCGCGCGCTTCCCCCTCAAAATTAGTTAATATTGGCGCAGAAGGCACTTTAAAAAACTTTAAGGGTCCGTCAGCCACAAACGGTTATCTCAAAATAGTGCAAAGGGGGACCGTTTGGGTCAGCAGGGGGCCAATCGATGAATCCGCTACATCTGCTACTGCCCTTCGCCTCAGGGATTTGACCCCCTGCAGACTCAAAGGGTCCCCCTTTGTACTATTTTCATATATATATTTTTGCCTGAACGACCCTAAAGGTGCCTTTAGCTCAAGTATATACTTTTTTTAAGGCGGGAGAACGCACCGAAAAACACAATTTTTTGTTAAAATTTTTGCAAATAGTGCCCTAAGATCGCATTTATTGCCTTTTTCAGAAATTTGACTGCGTCGCAAATTTTTTTGGTCAAAACAGAATCCTTATAGTGTTTTGTTATAGCTCTTGAACAAATTTAACCGGATTTTAAAAAATACGCCTCATCTCCAGAAAATCTTAAGCCCGCCACTGTTGTAAGACATTTTTTAGACTTTGACCAAAAAATCTCCATTTTTGGGTGCGCCCATTTTTCCATAAATTAGGTCTATTTGTGAGCCAAAAGCGTTAAAAGAAACCTCAATTAACTGTTAGGTCTAATACCTTGAAAAGAGTTGAGTTCGAAGCGCACTAGAGAGTTCTCTCCAAAAGTGTAGTTGATAGAGATATCGTCCACTAACAATGGCAAAATACCCTCGTCCACTTTTTCATACCCGGCTTGTGTCCCTAAAACACAGACAACATATTGTTAATTCACGTGATTTTTTTATCCCTAGCGTATATTATAATTACGCTTGCACTTAGCAAGCGTTATCAAACCGGAATATAGACTTTTTTTCGTCCGAATTTTGTCCGATTTTTGTTTCTCTGCTTTTTTGTCGGCTCAGTTTCCGTAGCACCAAATCTACCAGAAAATTGAGCCTGTTTTGCTCACATTGGGAAAAATTTCAGCGTTTTCCGATTTTAGGCAACTAATTGAGTTCCAAGAAGTTTTGCCTACTTTTTTGCTATTTTTTTAAAACTTTTTTTTATGCTGTTGTTTAAAAATTTTTGGAAAATATTTCTGTATAGTATCAGGAGGTTTTTTTTGCATTTGATGCAGAGATAATACTCATGCTTGAGATGACAAATAACAGAAGTTCGATTCCAGTCGAGACCTGTTTTTTTTCTGGAAATTGAAAATTTTTGAACTTCGTGTCTGCTAAATTTTGTCGGCCCCGAAGAAAAATTCAATTTGTTATTAGCATTTTGGAAGCTCTTTGTAATTTTTGTAATGAAGCAGATATTTTTGTTAAAGGATTTTTTTTCCTTTTTTGAATTTTTTGTTACTTCTTTAACAAAAAAAAACGGATTTTTTTGAAGGTTTTTTTTTTTCAGTTTGTGATTTTTCTATTCACTTGCTAGTAAACATAGTCATTCATTTTTGTATCGCAAGGAAGTACGTTTTACGTCTGTGTATATTGTGTTTTGAGCTATATTTCAATAGGCTATTTCATGAGCATCCAACCAAGCAAGCATCCAAAAATAGACCGTTTTATGCAGTCTAAAAAAGAAATAGATAAAACGTAATAGTTTGACGCCCCCTGTCCAACCAAGGGATTTCTCTTTGATACGATTTTATGACATCCATATTGGCTGACCGACGCTGAATTTTTGTTCAAAAAAATATACTGAAATTCGAGATGGATCGCGCGTTAAGAGAAACCAGGGGCGGATATGTGGGGGAAGGAGTTGACGCTGTTTCTCCTTAGGGATTCGAACCCCTGCCGACCGTAACGTTCCTTTTTTTGCTACTAATTTAAGACATCTATTTTTGGCTAACGGAACTTAAAATTTCCGAGGAACACCTTCGGCGCCAATACATAGTAATTTTGAGGGAGCGCGCGCAAAAAAAAACGCGCTTTTAACAAATTTTTTTATTCAAGTTTTTCCCAAAAAAGCCTAACAACGCATAAAATTTGCGGAGCAGAAAATTTGGTCAAAATAGGGTTTTAAGAGTGAGTTTTAACAGCTAAGATAATCATTTTGGTCTATCTACAAAGAAGTCGACAAAATTTGCAAAAAATTTTTGAAAATCCGCCACCTCACCATTCGACAAAAATCCTAGATCCGCCCTGCATGGCTTTACTATCGAATACAAAAAATAGCAGCCTTTTATTAAATGAATCAATACGCAGCGAGGCTGAGTCTTTACTCCAACTCGCGTAGAACATAAGAAATTGGGACAAATTTTTTGTTATAAAAAAATCTAGGTTTAAAAGTCAACATACCGTTATATGCGTACTCGGTATAGAGCAGGTTAATTGTTTCGTTGATGGTGGCTTCTGGCCATGACACCTGGAGGATCCCACTTCCTTCTACCGTGCTGACTTCTAGAGGTCTGGCATGTTGGTCTTGAGTGAAGGAAAGAGTAGCTTCAATCTTCTGCTCCAGATCTTCAGCAGTCACACTCATTCCCACCACTTCATTCACACCCCAGAACTCGGGAGCATCAAAAGTCAGTTTGGCAGAGTAAATGTCAAAATCGATGTCGGAGTTGTCAATCGTCTTGTTGAATGACGAGCCTATCAGCTTGACTTGAAGGTTCTCTTCATAGGTCCTGCCACCCCAATTTTGATCTTTAGCCACCAATCCGGGACATTCGATAGATATTTGTTTTGCACTTGCCGCGAAAACAGCCACGCTTGATGGCTTCGCATAAGACTTACCACAAAATTTAACCTTTCTTTTTGGCATCCGAATATAAGGGATGTCTGGAAGTTGGCTAATTTCGTAAATCCACAGTCCAGGAATTCCCACGTTGCTTTTATCGTCGTTCGAGTTAAATGAGGGTCTATGATCAAATGGCATCCGAAAATAGCCATAATCATAATCTAAACACGGAATAAATTGTTTTGTGTATTGGTTCCGACCACTCTCGAAAAATTGCAACTGAGTAATGGCTTAGGATGTTTTTTTTTGTTTTGAAAAATTAGGTAGCATGAGTGTAACATTCAGAGGATGTTGAGCATGGTATGATAGTAAAGCTTTTTCAGCCTACATTTACTTTTCTTTTTTGTTTGAAAAAATTCAAGCTAGAATAGTTGCCTTGTCTTTTTGTTTTGTGCTATTGTGTTTTTTTTTTGTAATTATGTAAACTAACTTTCCCGAAAGGCTCCATTTGTAACCCTACTGAGTTTTAATTTATTTTTAAATAATTATTAAAATATTTTATCTTTAAATTCCTGACTTTCACAGTTTCACTAATCACAGCAGCGATAGAAAATTGTAAAATTTTTGGTGATAGAAGCTTTTTGGCGATGATTTTTTTGGCTCGACCGATAAAAAATTATTTCATCTACCCAGGCGTAACATTTTGATCTGACGACTCACCATTTCATTCCCAGTCTGAAATGCCAAATTTCACATAACGCAAAATATTTTCCCAAAGGAGTGAAATTTAAAATCTACCAATTGTGTGAAACCTATCACAAAACAAAAGTTCAATCCGTCGTCAGAGAAAAATTCGATTTGCACGAACTGTTTTTATTTGGAATTTTTAAGTAAAATTTTGGAAATCCTGACTGAAAAAAAAATCCATCATAAATGATATGCTCTCTCAGCCTACATAAAAAAATTGTATCTCAAGTATATGCTGCCTTTCCCTGAAACAGAAAAATAGTAAATAAAAACCCACAAAAGCGTTCAATTTAGCCCATTTCTACGTGTAAAGACTGTTTTGTTGGTGTCACTGTTTTTTTTTGAAGAAATGGTAACACTTTTTAACTTTCATTTGAACATAAAATGTAACATATTTGCAAAATCCTTAAAAAAAATATTGGTATTCAGCCAAAAAATGGTTAATATGACAAAAGATCCCTCACCTTAAAATCCCAAACGAGAAAATCCTAGTCAATAAGATACCATTCCAACAGATACCTTGTTCTAAAACCGACCCACGAAATAAGATACCACAAGAAAATAACAAAGAATCTGAGAATTGAAAATAAAGCGGTTAATCGATCAAAGCAAAAACAAAGCGTCGGTTAAAATCAAAGAAACGGCAAAAATATTTCTGTACAAATTTTGAACATAAATGACCTTGTTAATCACTTGGCCTTCAAATTGAAAATCAAACTTCAAAACAGTTTAGGCTACAAATTAACTTGAAAAAGACTTCCAATTAATCAAAACCAACTTTGCCAAAAATGGCCTGATTTTCCAGACAACTCAAGTCGGTACAAAACTGAAATTCATTTTTTGCAAATTTCTAAATCTTTGAAATCAATTTCATTAAGAATCATTTGCCGTTCTCTTTGATAACAAACATCACTTCTCAATTGTGATCAATTTTTTTTCGCTAGGTGCAATACTCAAAAGGCCGTCAGGCCCCTACCCCCAGCCTAGCGGCCCGTAAAAAAGGGCAATTGCTCTAGGATCAAATTGCTAGAGACAGCAACTTCGAATGCGAGTCGTAGTATTGCGTTTCGGCGTTCTCCGGGAAGGTGCAAGGAGACGTCTATAAAAAAGTTAATCAAATAAATTTAAATTTAGGAGAAATAAGGCAAAAACTAAATTAAAATTTAATAGTTTAAATGGGCAAGTGAACGGATATAAAACAATAAGTTAGAGTCTGCGTATGAAATTTTTGTGATGTATTTTCGATCTTATTTCCATTGCATATGCTAAATCTAAATTTGTTGAGGTCTTGTTCGAGACACCAGATGAGCTTAAATCCGGGGTTGCTCTCTCATAGAGTATTTTCAGATAAGGTGCACCGTCTGTTCGTCACGCTATCTTATTTTCTGTCGGATAGACTTGTGCAACTTCTTAGTCTAATACCGATCTTAATCTTACTCTTATATCTCCTAGTCTCAATAGGTCTGGTGTATACTGGTATTTGCGAGTTAGATATCAGGAACTCTTCTGAAGGAGAACAACTGTCTTCTAAGTTATAGTTTTTTCAGTTTGAATTGACTTAAATGACTTTTTAATGATTAATAGTTATCGCATCTAAATTAGCTAAGTTTCGTCAAAACTATTTCGACCTTTTCGCAACCATTTTGTCAATTTAATGGCTTGTATTTTTTGTCGACTAGATTACTTGTCATGCTATTTTTGTGCTATATCGCAAAACCGTGAAGCTCCGCTTTACCTTCGTGCTGCGGAATTTTGTGTTCAGTAACTGAAGAAGCTAGTATCTGCTAGTATCGGTTATTTTCATAATTAACTTATTTAGAGACCAACCTTATATAATGAAACTGGAATCGGAACTATTTCAGCGATAGCTCGGATTATTTTGAAAAACTAACCAAATGGCTCCATGTAACTACTGAAGTAGAAGAACCCGTCCATTTCCTCCTCCCATGGGTTAAGTTGATCATATTCGGCCATGGAGTAGCACTCGTTGTCCTGGACATCTGTAGTGTTCTTCTGGTCACATGCAACGACAAGCTGTACATTGGAGAAAAACATGGTTTCTGCGTCATCGTCCATGATCTTGTACCATGTGACTACGAAGCCAAAATCCGCTTTGAAGTCTCCTCCGATCCGATTGTTGACAACTTCCAAGTCTTTGGATCTAGTGAGGTTGCGCACATACACATTGTTCGCCAAATTGACGTATTTGGTATCGGGTCCAGTCAGCACCTGAGTCAAGAGATCGTCAAAGTAGACGCCCAGACTGCTCTTCGAGAAACTCAAGTCATTCCATTCGTACAGAAGCTCTATTTTATAGACAACACTTCTTAGTGCAGAATCGGTACTCCTAACGAAACCTCTAACGTAGTCCTCAGCAGGATTGTTTGGATCCAGCATATAGTCACAGATACTTTCAATATTCGCATAGTAGTCATCATATTGGAGGCACATTTTATCAAGCAGATTGTCCTGAGTTTTTCCATCGAAATAAGCTACTTCAATTTCGCCGATTTGGTTGCCGCTTTGGTCGTACAGAAATAACTCAATGTCCGATTCAGTTTTGAAGTAGGCGACCTCTGCTTGACCCCACATCAGTGGTCCATTAATATAAATTGGCTCAGATCTCGTACCATCTCCTTTCCAAGTGAATTGATCCCCTGCGTCTGGTCCAAAATCAAGGTCAAAAGGCTCTTTTACACAGCTGACATGTAGATTATGAGCTGCGATCAGCATCAGCACCAACAATCGGGGCCCAGCACTCCTCAGACTACAGTTCCGTGTCTGCCCGGAGTCGGTCCAGTAACAGTAATCGGTTTTGATCCGCATTACCACCAGATGTCTGTTAACGCTTCAGTTTAAAGCAGCTTTTTTGTTAATTTAAGTTTTAACTTTTGTTTTTCTCGATCAGCACAAAAGTGAAAACAATTATTCATTCAGCTGCTTCATTAAAAATATAACATCGAATTTCAACCAATGAAGTTACTCGATCAGAAAGTTCAAAAAGTTGAATCAATTTTTTGAGAAAATTTAGAAGAGAAGCATATAACAGCACAGGAAAGTAAAGAGCACAATTTTCATCTGAAACTTTTTTTTAATAATGATAAGGGACCGATAAATTTTTAGGATAGTTTTAACTCTCCGCCACTTCAAAACATTGATTAAACGGGGACACTGGATAGTCTTAAGATGCTATATAGCAGTAGCGGATTTAAGGGGGGGGGCAAAAGGGCTCCTGACTTCCCAAAGGGTTCTCCCTTTGGAACCATTTTGAGACATCCAATTTTGGCTGACCAGTCCTTAAAAATTTCTAAAGGCGTAACGGGCTCCAATAAATACAAACTTAGAATGGTTGAGCGCGCGCCGAATAAACGGCATTTTTTTCGGTCAAAACTAGTTGTTTTTTGGCCTCAAAACAGGGGCGCTTTATAGTGCTTTAGAAGAGTTCGGAAAAGCAATTTGGTCGATCTAAAAAAATCAGCCCCACCCTCGAGAATATCCTAGATACGCCCCTGCTAAGTATGTCAGATACTAAACCCTAACGTCTTTTCTGCAATGTATGTTTTTTGTATATCCTGCTCCTTTTGTTTGATTGACTTAGCCTCAAATCCGACCATCTAGTCAACAAGCGTACTCGCGCATGCAAATGCATCTAATTTGATATCAAAGTGCCCTTGTGAAACTTTGGCGCCAAATTGTTTTTGTGAAGGCAATGCCACAACTGAGAACATCTGGTGACTGGGAACAAACAGCTGGAAAAAAAAGTAAATTCAGTTTTTGCTTAAGTATTAAAGAAGTTTCTGACTAGCGTTTCTGACTCTTGAAAAAAAAACTAAAAAAAAAGATTTTCAAGTTTTTGTCGTTTTTTGGGCGTTTACGGAAAAGTGTGAGAGAGAGAAACAAAGAGAAAACCAGCTAAGAAAAACTAAAAAAAAGTCTTCATTTTACCACTTGTTTCTCAAAACTTTTAACACGAACGAACGGTTTCCAATTTGTTCAGATTACCTTTTTGTAAGAAAAAATTTTGTGCTGGGAAAACGCAAACTGAAGCTTCAAAAGCTGATGCTTTGCAGCTAAGTAGATAGTTTATTAAAGGCGTTGATGGCAAAGCTTCAGTTCTATTTGCTGTACAAACTAAAATTTAAAATTTTTTCCCCGATTCTAACTTTTTGTCTGCAAATTTCTTACAATCGATCAAATTACCGTTGATTGGGCTTTAACGAGACATGTCACCACACCTCATGTGCTTTTAATATGTAATAGCTAATCATGTAGGAGAAAAAGAGTTAATAAATTGAAACACATCCCAACGCAAAATTCTTCCCCCTTTTCACTGGTCAAATCTAGAAGAAAGTAGCAAACACTTGCTCCGACTCCCGGTGAACTTATGGTCCAAACGAGTGGTGCATTGCGCCTCAATCGTAGCCACTAATCTACATGTATTTATACACGTATCATTATCCTTAGCTCAAAACTCTGATTAAGCAGTTGAAATCAACTTTTATTCAATATGTTGAGCATACCGGTATTTCAATGAGCTGAACTTTTACCCAACCCAGTTTCATTGCAATTTTGCTTTGAGTTTTTGTGATTCATACTCCATTTATCGGATCTACTTAATAATCTCCCCCCTATGGTACCTACTTAAGAATCTCCACCCCTATAAATAAATACAGTAAATTAGCACCGAACTTTCTATTGAGAACTCTAATTTTGCTGCACTCTGATTGGTCGAAAAATCGACCAGTTTGATCTACTTAACAACATCTCCCCCCCCCTTTCTTGAAAGGTGTGGAAATTGTTACGTAGATCCCATTTATCTAGTGGGGCAAATACGAAATTTATCAGATATTTGATATCTTGAATTATTCATTGAAAGCTAAACAGAAAAAATTAAATAAAACAATCTAGTCTTATTTAAATGAACCTATCAAGAAAAAAAATTGAAGCAGCTTGGATTTATGCTGGCTACGAGAAACAAAACTGGATTTTAGCAGTCAACGAGATAAAACAAGAAGCAGTTTCTAGACTTTTGTAGACTACGAGGAACGAAGCTCATAAGGCAAATAGCCTAACATTAAAAAGACTGCTCGTATGAAGGTGAAACCGTGAATAAACTGATAAAAATCATTTTAAAATTTAATTAAACAAAACTTGAATGATCCGACTGATAAAAATTATTGATAAAAAAATGAAAACAAGTAAAGCAAAAGTTTTTTTTCAATTTTATCCAACAACGCGCTAGCTAAGTACTTAGCAATGTATTTTGAATCTTGTAGGCTTTAAAAATTCGCCTCAATTTGGTTTAAACGATAAAATTTACTGCTTCAGTTTTGTCCCAAATTGGCCAAATTGGCAAACTAAAAACCCACATAGTTCTATGAAAACTAATCACAAGTAAAATGGTAATTTACATTTGAGCTCAAGTTTTTTATCCCGCAGAATAAAGTTTAACGAGCAGCAACTAAACATGAGAAAAACAATCACCTCGAGCACTTTATTTTATCACTGTCTTCAAAATTACAAACAACAAGTGAAAACGGAAGCATTTAATTGTTCTATAAAACATTCCAGCAGTTGATTATTTTTTTATCAAACCGCTGTAAAAAGTCGTTTTGAAGTTTTTTTCTCGAACATTGGTCCCACTCCAAGCCAATAAGAGAAACCAATCGGAAAGAGGAGGGAACGGCCCCAAACGTTGTTTTGGTTAAGTGGAAGTTTGGACATTGGAACTGTAGGATCCCTAAGAAAAGGGAAAGAGTCGAATTAGAAAGAGTCGAATTAGAAGAATTGACGCTTGAGCGGCGTTTTGACGCCCTGGGATTATGCGAGACTACTCTATTGTGTGCTCGAGTGGCCCCAAGAGAAAACGTAGAAACGAGGTTGCTCTCATTTTCAATTTGTTGACAATGAAATTAGCCAAGGCAGAGATTTCAAACATACCGAGTTTTGCTCGCCTGGTTAGAAAGTAGCAAAAATAGTGAAACTATTAAAATAGTCGTTTCTTACAGTCCCACAAACCCCAATGATGAAAAGGTGAAAAACGGGTTGATTGCTTCTACGCTGATCTCTTCAGAGTAGTGAAAGAGGGCATCCCAGCTGCAAAGTTGGATCTCTGATATTTGGTGATTTAAATGCGAGAATTAGTAAGGAGCAATTGACCAAGTTGAGATCAATAGCTGGTTCCTGGTCTGCCGTACAATGCCGTACAAAGAACATACTCAAACGGTGAGAAATTGTTGAAGTGTTGCTCGACACACGATTTAAATATCGTGAACACGTTATTCAAGAAGCCTTCAAGCAGGCTTATAACGTGGCGTCACCCCAGAGGATCAGAGGCAGTCATTGATTATATCTTGTCTGATCGGAACACGGTCAGGAAAGATATTAAGGCCAGATGCGGAGGTAGTACCGGGCATCACTCAGATTAAGCTAAACTAATAGGCGTCATCGTACCCCCGAAACAACCAGACAAAAAGGCGTTAGATGGTGAAAGCCTTTTCAGAAAAAGCTCAAAGAGGAATTCGTCTGGATTACGGTCTATACATGTCTGAAGTAGGCCCAAGGTAGCAAGCTTCTATCATCAAAGCTTCATTGAGAGCTTCAATAGAACTCTCAAGGAGTTAGTGTTCAATGTCCATGCCAAGTTACCGGATCCGAAACCTGAAGAAAAAGAAGGTACATTCTTTGAATACTTATACTGAATAAAACTTAATAATTAAAGAAACAAGAAGCGTACACAGCCAGGTTTTAAAGAACAGAACTGACAAATTGATTGCAACAAAGTTAAGGTTAAACTTGAAGAGTCACAAATTGAGAAAAAATTGCCCAAAATGAGATTTTAGAGAGCGGCCTGGAAGGATTTCAAGACAATCACGTCCTCGAACAAACGCATGAAGCATCTAAAGGTTTGAAAAAGACTCTTTTGAGTGTTCGTTTGAGTTAGCTGGAGAGAAGGAGCAAAGGTGAAGTCAGTAATTGCAAGATTCAAAAGCATTATGTGAATCTGTTTACGAACAGACCGTCGTGGAAAAATTGTTGAAAAGTCACTTCCAGGTGCGACTAGTGGACCTCCTTAAGGGGCAGATGTACTACAAGTCTTGAGAAATTTTAACACGGGCAACGCTCCCAGTGAGAGTCAGAGCACCAATGACCTCATTAAATTGCTCGAGAAAAAAACTATCAAGCCTCTCAAAAGATATTCATTGATATCTGGCTTTATCCGGGAAATTTTCCACAAATTTGGAGGTATGCAGTAGTACTCAATCTGATCAAAAAAGAAGCAGAGCAGAACCGAACAATTACTGGAGCATTTTCTTTCTTGACCAAGTTGGCAAAATGTTCGAAAGGTGATTGCAAATAGGATCAATAAGCAGCTGCCAAAGATCTTACCCTATCAATTTGGGTTTCGAAACCACAGATCAACGGGCCAAGCTATCTTGGCAATTAGATATTTGCTTTAAAGAAAACCAGCAATCTCTTTGGTATGACTTTCAAAGACCTGAATAAGGCTTATGACTCTTTTGATAGGGAAGTGCTGTTTATCGCTCTAAGGGTTTTTGGAATCCCAGGAGAAATTATCATTTTGACTGAAGCGCTCTACACAAAACCCATCGCCAAGCTTGATAAGGAAAACACATTTGTAGTGAACCGGGGGTGCGGCAAGGATGTGTTTTGGGCCCACTGTTGTTTATCACCCTTTTTGACTTCCTCCTAAGTAATACCAGTGGAGCGAGAAGTCACCATGCAAACGCTGATGATCTGGTTTTGGTCTCTAAAAACCAAGCAAAAGTTGCCAAGTCGCTGAATGAAATGGTAAAAACCTTTGGATTGGCTCGTTATATCTATCGAGAAAACTAAAAGTATTGTAACCAACACCGAAGAGATATCTGTCGAG